ACACTACTGGGGCGTCACAACTATGCTCACATGCATTACCGAGACGCTACGCGACGACAGCGACAGATCATACACCTCGCAGGCATACACCCACTTGATTGAACACACACTGTGTCCCCCCCCAGCAGGTATGAATCGACTGTATCCATACACCATGCAAGCAGCCCCCACCCTCGCGCGGCTCGTGCTACACCTACCTTGTTCATCGTAATCTTGTCAATAGCCAAGTACACATCCGCAAACTGCCCTGAGCCGATCTGGTCGATGACATCGAAGTCCGCCATGCCACTATACCTGGAGCCCACCAGCACCACATCAGGCACCGCCAGCGCCACACCTTCATCCGCATTCGTATATAACAGCGCATCCGTGTGTGCTCCCGCAGGGGGTAGGGCGTCCGTAGGGGTTTGTGCGTGTGCGTGTGCGTGTGTGGGTGCGGGTGTGTCTGTGTGTGTATGTATGGGTGTCTCTGAGGGGAGTTGCGTGACATTCGCACTGGCTCTGCCACTAGCGCTGGTGTGCTCGGACTTCTTGTGGGTGGGCGTGGGCGTGTGCGCCCGCCGCGGGCCCTGTACCGTGCTCGTGTGCGTGTGCATGGACGTGTGGCTCTGTGACATGCCGATATGCAGACCCGTATTCTCGGGCGAGTAGTAAACACTGCTCTTGCACTCGGCTACCTCCCGCACCCCGCTGCCCTCATCTGCATCCGCATCTGCATCACCACCGCTCCTATGCACCAGCACGCTTTGTGTGCCGTTGTCCGCCGTTGCATGGCTTGTGTGCATAGTAGTAGCCTCATTACCCCCATCCCGCCAATGTGTGTTTGTGTAGGTACCCCTTCTTTGCGCGGTGCCGCACATATCTGGATAGGGTCGGTTGCGCAACTCTGCCGGCACTCCGGTGGCTGTGGAGGGCTCGGTGGTGTATGGGGCAGTTAGCGTGGATCGTTGCACGCTCTCCGTCATCTCAATGGTGTTGGTGCCTTCTGTGGCCATAGACAGCGCCCGTGACAGAGTTAGCGCCGAGACCTCTGTGTCGCAGAAGCTCTCTTTGCGGCTCCGTTGCCCAATCACAGGCCTCAGTATCTTCGCGCCCTGGAGCTTGGCGTCGTCCGTATACGCGTGCGCAATATTTAGCGTGTCAAGCGTGTCAAGCGTGTCAAGCTTGTCAACTGCTTCAAACGTGTTGCTGAGCACAGGCTCCTGGCAGTCCGCTGGGGCGAGGTCTGCTCTCGAGTGCGTCATGGGTGGCTTGTGCACGTCCCTGTCTAAGGGGTCTGTGATCCCTTGTGAATAATTGTGCTGTGCCTGTGCCTGTTCTTGTGCCAGGCGCTGGCGTCCGCCGAGTGGTTGGTGCGTGGGGGTGTGTGGCTGTACTTGTGGCTGTGGTTGCCGCTGAGTGTTGGGTGGTGGCGCGTGTAGGCTGCTTGCTAAGCCGAACAAGGTGCTTGGACCGTCTGACGGCCTGTGTGTCTGCATAGGCCCATTATCAGACCTCTCGGGGACGGCTATTTGCCTGTCGGACAGATACGACTGAGCTATAGCAAAAGCCTCCGCACACATCTCCCCGACTGGGTTCGAATCTGCGCTCACATTCCGTCTCAACTCGTTCGCCCCGTGCGTATTGGTTGCGCGTGTGTGCACATCCGAATCCACTGACCCGTACCCCGGCATGGCGTGGCCGCCCTCGGCCTTGCACCTGCCCCGTAAAACAGGACTGGCGCTCGTACTGGTCCCGCCACAGCCGTCCGCATCCTCTGCCTCGTCGTCGGCCGCATTGGTGTTGTTCACAGACATGCGGGCCACTTGTCCTACCAACAGGTCCGCCGAGAGCGACGCCAGGGGACTGCTGCGATTGGCCTGGACGTCCAGGGTGTCACTGGCAGTGGGTTGCACCCACAGGTGCGTCTCCATACCACTACCGCTGAGTCCGTTAACCATCCCCACATCCTCATTCGCTGGCTTGGTCGTGGTGTCTGCCGGGCGCCCAGCGGTAGACTGTATACCCGCCGCAGCCTTTCTGGTGCCTACCGCCGTATTGTCCACCGCAGCCAGCGCATCGCTGATATCTGAGTTGCTTGTTGTGCGCGGCTCGTACCTGCCTGGAGCGGTGCCTAGCCTGGCCACACATATCCGTCCCTGTGACTCTATCCCACCCATGTCCACTCTGAGGCGACTGCTCCTGAGCCCGCCCTTTATCTCACCCATATCTACGCTCATGCGTGTGCTTCGGAGGCTGCCCGCCTGCGCGAGCGCTTCCATGGTGCTCACATTCGGCAGAGACATTGGCACCGACGCACCGAACGACCCGGCAGGTGTGGTGGTCGTCGCCTGGTTCAGGTGAACACTGGAGTGTGCGTGTGCGTGTGCGTGTGCGTGCGTTCCTATTCTCCTTTCGACCAGCTGTGTCTCCCCCCGACTCCGGTAGTGTGTTGCACTTCGACCAGCCGGCTCGATAGGTGCGGGTCCGTTCAACCCAAGCCTTACATCCGTCGTGACTTGTGGGTGTCCTTGTGACTGGCCCGGGGGGGGGGTGTGGTTGTGGTTGTGGTTGTGGTTGTGGTTGTGGTTGTGGTTGTGTGTGTGCATCTGCGAGTGTGTGCGTGTCTGTGAGTCGACGCGTGCCTGGGTACTCGCCTGCATGATCAGGCTCTCCCGCTCACTCACACTTGCGCTACGTTTCCTGCGCGCACGCACAACAGTCGTATCGCCACTGATGCTGTAACTCGAACGCTCACGCGCCCGCCGGTGCGAGTGCATCTCTGTGTGCGTGTGGGCCTTGCTGATATGCCTCTGCGTGTGTATGTCCTTGCGCAATTGTGTGCGTGCGTGCGTCTGCGTCGGTTGTGTGGTGTTCCCCTGTAGGCTTGCCTCGTGAGGTTTACGGGCGACGACAGGCATGGGCTCGGGGGCTGCCCTTGGGGGGTCATACAGTGACATAGGAGGTACCGTCTGCGATGGCAGGAATTGCGGTTCATTGGGGGTGTTGGGTGCGACCGTATTCGGTATGCTAACCGACCCACGCATTCGCCGTCGTGCTTCCACAGAGGACAAATATCCAGGAGTCCCGTCCATGCCCGCCAAATTTGGGCAGCTCGCCTGAGAGTTGGGGTATGCACGCGTATGCGCGCGTTTGTGTGCGTGTACAAATTCGTTGCTCTGTGTACGTCCGGGCGTGCTACACTCCCGATCGTTAGACTCCAGTCGAGCGATCTTGGTGGCTGTGCTATCACTCTGTCCCCCCAACCACACTGTGTCTGACCCACTCGCAGTATACGCCCTTGTGTGGTCCTGAGTGGCCGTGTGGGGCTGTGCTTCGGTAGGTATACTTGCAGTGGCACTGGCGGGTGCATACGCGTACTCGTATGCAATTCCCACTTCACCCCCTATCTCGGAGGCACTCGTTTCGTTCCAATTCGGTATCCTCGGGGCAGTGGGTTTGCGAGCAGTTTGCACACTCGCCACAAACGGGCGCACTGGTTGTTTCAAAGGTAGCTCCGCGTTGCCATGGTAACCTGTCCCGTTCACGCCCACATCGAATCGGTTCAGGAACACCCCGGAGTCTATGATCTGAGATCCGTACGATAATGTCACCTCATCTGAGTCCCCCAGGGAGAACAGCGCAGGTGTGCTCGTGGAACACCTTTCCGGTTCAATGGGTGTGTGCGGATTGGCCCTGTCATCGTAGTTATAGGCGTAGGGCCGTGCGAATGTGTTCGTGTCCGACGTGTTGGGAGCCGATGTATGTAAGTCGTGTGGTGCGCTTGTATAGGCACGTGACTCGGTCGGTGTCTGTGTACGCGTGTGAGAAGATGTTCGTTGCATCGTCTCGAACACAAATGAAGGGTGTGATTGTGGCTGGATCGTATGCGCAGACACAGCATCCCCGCCTATAATAAACTGCGGCACGGTCCCTCCGTCACCCGTACTCATATTCATATGTGTATGCAAATCCAACCTGGCACTGGATCTCACACTCGCCCCAGGCGGTGCCATCGAGCGCTTGTGCGCACTCATCTGGCCCCCATAGCTCACATACGACTGCATACGGAACTGTGCCTCCTTCACTTCTGGGGTGGCCATAGCGAGCGACAACGCCTCGTCCCGACAGTCCATAGCATCCGTTAACGTATCCAGAGCCATGGACATACCGTCGACGTCGTACCCTCCTACGCTGCCGTGGCGGCCGTTGCGGTAGCTGATAGCCCCACTCGGTGCTCGCTCAAACGAGGTGTGGTGTGGACGTCCCTGCACATGCACATCGGTTGAAGCACGTGTGCGCGTAGGCACTTGCTGTGCACTCGAGGTTCTGAAGCGACTCGTTCTCTGTTCCCCATCGGTGACTGTCCTGTCCATAGTGTTCTGGGACTCCCCCGCACCGTCAGTGTGTGTGATGCCATGACTGTGTGTCTTGTCATCGTTGTTGGTACGCACATACCGTCCTTCACCAGACGTCCCAACACGCCGCTCATCACATGGCGAATGGGGTGCCGTAGGATTCACGAACATCTCCGTGGGCGTGTGGAACCCCGTGCCAGGCAGTGACATACTACATGATCTCCCGTTACTGGATGTCTGAGCTCCCTCGACTTGTGGTACTTTCCCATTGGAATCTTGAGCGAAGTGCTGCGTGTTCTGTTGTACTCTGACTTGGTTCACCGTACCGTCAGCGTCCAGGCATACAGTTCGTGATCGACTTCTGTGCCGTTGTACTTTGACTATGGGCCCATTGTCTCGCCCTGTTTTCCGAGAGTGGGTTCGATCCGGATTGAGCACGGAAAGGGCTTATGATCATCCGCATATATATAAAAAATTTATAAACGGATATATATATATTTGTAAATATATATATA